AAAAAAAAAAAAAATACAAAACATGAAATACGGAATACGAAATATTATTGGGAAGCAAAAAATATTATAAATGCGGACGGTGTGATATTTATAAATAAAAAATACATATGAAAACGTATTTTTTGTAAAGCATTAAAAAATGGTAGAAAAAATATGCAGTTATAATAAATTAAAAAAAAAATAGGGTTTAAGAAAAAGTTGATTAATTTAGAAAAAAAAAATTCAAAAAAAGTTCTGCAGAAAGAAGTACAAAACGGTTTGACAAAAACAAAGAAAAACGTTTTCGAAAAAAATAAGCATTTTCTATAAAGTAAATAAAAAGGGAGTAAACTTCAAATGACATAAAAACTAAACAAATACACTGGGAACATAAGTTTTGATTTTATTTTTGTTAAAGTGGTGTAAATCAAAAAGCTGAAGCAAAAATTGCACCGCGCTTCCGCGTACGCGCGCAATTCGCTCTATTTGCGGAGGACGGCAAAAAATGCCGAGAAAAAAAAAAAAGCCGCGATGTGTGTGCGCAATGGATTGATAAGAAGAAATAGGCGTCACTCCGAATGCGTATGCATTATGCATAACTGTAGGTATAACGAACAAAAACAAAATTTGTAAAAAAAACTACGTCCATTTGTGCATGTGCAATTGTTTCGCATAAATTTGTAGTTTTTTTTTTTTTTTTTTGTTCGACCGTTTTTCTATCGTTAAAACACGTTCGCCTTGGGGCATCATTTAGGACCCATTATTTTGCCCTGATAATTTTATCTGCTCATGTGGATATAACTGTGCCATGTGCATGGTTTCCCTTGGTCCTCTGCCCAAGTGCGTTCTTGTTCGTTCTGTCGGTCGCGCACTTAATTTTTGTTAATATTTGTCAACCACTGGCACAGTGGTTTTGCTGTATAAAATTTTCCTGCATTTGTCACATTACACGTTCATAGGTACGCAGCTCGAGGCCCTCTGCCCCCCTTTTGTGCTCAATCTGTTCCTGCACATTGGCAGCTTATAATCCCAACGGTCAAAGTATTTTTTTGTTGCTTTTCTCCCTTTTGAACTTGGTCACGGTAGCAAGTGCCTAGTCAAGCTTGTTGTACTTCTTGTCCACAAATCCCTTATACAGCACACGCACACTGCCCTTTTGAATTTCATAATTGACTTTTGCATCCTCTTCATACTTAACTATATTAAAAACAACGATAGCTGAGTTGTGCATTTTGTGCGTTTTAGCTCTGTGAGGCTCCTTGAGGAAGTAATTGAAAAAAAGGAGGAACCACAGGCTGTGGCCAAATATGATAAATATATTGGTGTCCTTATTAAAAATGTACGAGAGGGTATCAAAAAATTTGTTACTTACATAATTTCTTTTAATGCGTATATTTCTTTTACACATTCTTTCTACATCTTTGTGTACAAAATTTTCAATATCTGTGCTGATATATTTATTGTCATAAAAATCGAAGAGCGAAACGCAGTCGGGATTTCTACTAATTTCTTGTAGTGAATTAAGTACTTGTATTTGTTCGTTATTTCTATTTATTCTGTTGTATAGGCCTATAAAGCAGGTGGATATTGCCCTTCTTAAACCTGAGCACAAGATGGCGCTTGGATAATTTACAGTGTTGTTAAGGATGTCAATATGATCCTTGACACTTCGGCTTAGCATTTCCTTAGGGTTGTAATTTTCGTAGTAATTGTTCCTGCTCACTTGGGGGTCATTTCGAGGGTCCTCCTGGTTATTAGGATGATTATCACCCATGTGCGTATCACTTGGGTGCATCGTCAATTCGTCATTAGTATATGCATTTCCATCTTGGTATGTGTCTTTGTTTGTACTTGTGTTTGCATCTACATCTGCATCCTTACCATGTCTTCTCTTCCTTATACTTTGTCCCGTATTATTTCCTGTCTCTCCATCTACTGCATGTACATAATCAACGACAGGGCCCTTTCTTCCACTGTTCTTATCTGCATATTTTACACTGACATAGTTCCTGTTCGGAGAGGAATTCTGCATAAAATCCTCGTCCTCCTCATCATCACCACCTGCGTTGTGCTCTATTTGCTTATTCATAATTGACATTTCGAGGTCTTCATTTTCGTCAGCGCAAGTCTCCTCGTGATCCCTATACAGTGGGTTCATAGGAACTACGCACCGTTTATCATCATTTTTCGTTTCACTTTTTTCTTGTTGCAAAAAGTTTGATAATTCGATGGACTGAATAATTCCTTTGTTACTGAGGGGGGCATCCACAAGCGCCGACTTTTGGCTAAAGAAGAAGAATATTTCGTACAAGAGGGCTAGGACCAAATTAAAAAACGTCGCTGCTTTGAATCCTTTATTAAACACGCTATTCCAAACAGATTCACTATGCCTTATGAAGTAAATTGTCTTCACTTGAACATTTTTTCTTTTGCTGTAGTCTACTTCATTGTGTGCATCTACGTAATCGCTGTCCACACCAACAATTGGGTCCTCTTGGCTGCCAGTGGGTATATACCTGTTTCGGTTAAAAAAGATATAATTTGCCACGCAGTAAAGGAACAGCTTCACTTTTATTAAGAAATTAACTATCGACGTTATAACTATGTCATTGAGAATTTGAACGTGTAAAAAAAACTCCACAAGATTTTCGTTATTATTTGCAACTTTCTTGCGCCTCAATTTTCTTGAGTTAAATGTATGAATGTATTCATACACAATGTTCGTGACAAAAAGTATCAGCAGGAAAAAAACGCAGATTAATATAAGACTGATCATTTCGACTTTTGCGTTTTTTTTTGATATGTGCGTTTTGTTCTATGAAACATGGGGGTGGGGCGCCAAATGGGTACACACTTAACATATGCATACCTAACATATAGGCAAATATTTGTCCCTGCCCCCTGGGCGTCCACAAATGGGTGGCATCAGGTGGGAATCATAGCAGGACCTACTATCTGTGATCTGCGGGCATGTCGTGCCTACACGCAAAGGTAAAAATATGCAAAAATAAGCATCGAACGCGGTATATATAACATTCTTGTACTCTTGGCACGATCACTTTTTTACAGCTTAATTGCATCGCAAAGAGGCTACATGTTACATATGCCCTGCTTTACTCAGGATGTTTTTTCTTTTTTCTTTTTTTTTTTTTAATTTTTTTCACGGTTTGGCATTATAGGTATGAAAGAGTTTTTATTATACTGTTTTGTATCATGCTGATATTTTAATTTTTTTTTTTAAAACAAACGTATCGAAGGGATAAAACTGTACATGTAAAATATATGCAAGTACAGGTAGCATTTCAAATTGACAACGTAAAACAAACACTTAAAAAATCGTTAACAGAATAATTATATGGTAACATTTTACCGTGACGCGCATAAAAAAAAATTGGGAAGAAAATTCAACAAGGATTGGACTAGAAAATAAAAAAAAAAAAAAAAAAAGAGAGAAAAAGAGAATACGAGAGAGCGGAAACGCTGTGAAAAGTTATTGAGGTAGGAGCAGCACAAATGGTAGGAATTTTCACAGTGCACCAAGTACAAGTTGGGCCATTTTTAAAAATAAATATTCTTGCCCATGTACTTAAGCCCTAGTGAAAGAAAAAAAATGGAATACGCCTTCACCGGCAATGCGAAAAAAATATTTACATGAAAAATAATGCCTTACATATGGAAGGATAAAAAGTATGAGAACCGTATTTACAGGCGGCTTTAAATATTTTGTTATACGCGTAGGAAAGGAAAAAAAAAAAAAAAAAAAAAAAAAATTTACCGTTAAAATGTGCGCCTTTGTGCAGACGGGAAAGAAATATTTTTTATTTTTATTGTATTCTTTTTATGTCTCTCGCCAAGTCAGTCTAAAAACGAGCGTAAGCACAAATTGTCATTGCCAATGACGTTGTTGTCGCGATTTAGCTTCCATTCCTAGAAGCAGTCTGAAGGAGAAGTAAAATACGTAAAACGAAGGTCACCTGTTCGTAGCAGACAGGCGTTCGCTACATGAATATAATTCCTTTGATATGTCCCCCCACGGAGAGGACGCTGTCGTTCTGCCAATTACACACCAAGCAACGCCGGAGTTTATTTCGTGGAAGGAATTTGCAAAACAAAAGGGGGGAATACACTTTGTTGAATTTTAATTTAAGACAAAAAAAAAAAAAAAACTGTTCAATTTGTCTTCCTTCGAAAAAAACGACATAAAATTGCTATGACCAACTATTGACAATACCGCTACCTCGTTCAGTACTGCCATTATTTGAAATATTCCAAAAAAAAAAAAAAAAAAAATATATATATATATCATTCAGTGCATATGACAACGTACCTTTTGTGAAATCACTGCGAGAACGTATTTCGGACGTGCACGAAATACACAGGACGCGTTCATCGCGTAAAACAGAACAGAAAAAGAAAAAATGGAATAAAAAATAATAGTTCAATTTTGAATAGGACACAAATAGGGCGCACCGAAAAATTGAAAACACAAAACAAAATGTGATAATGACAAATTTGCACATTTTCATTATCACGTTGAACTTAAAGGTGACAGTGGTTCTTCCTTTTTGCGCAGTCGCCGATAATTCGGGGGATTCTTTACAATTTTAAGGCTATTTAAAGGTTATTTTTCGCCTTTATTTTTGTCTTTCTTTTTGCCTTTTTTTCCCCTTTCATCGTTGCACATTGCGCCTCATGCAACACGGTATCCCTTATATTGCCGTGGCCCTGGCGTGATCGTGGTCTTTGGCGTTTTTTAACCGTTCGCGCTTTATACATTCTCGCGGCGCGATTTTGTTTTATTTTTTCATTTTATTACATTTTTTACGACACTACCTTTTTTTTTTTTTTTTTACCTTTTTCCTTACCTGTTGGCCCATTCAAAGGTCGCCGTCCGGTTAAATCTTCCCCGCTGCGATGCATGTCCACCTCCTGATGTTTGCAGCGCACATGGATGGTGACAACATGTGCTTATTTCCGCACTGAGCAGCGTTACGCGTTAGTTTTATCCGTCCCCCTTTGCTGTCTCTCTTCCCTTGTCTGATTCCTACTGTTCTTCATTTGGGGCAAATAAACAATCGTCTTTGTGTGTACGTTTGGGAGAGCACCACTAAGAAAAGGGAAAAAATAGATATGTACAAAATTGTATGCACATGGATTGTGACAGGTAAGTGCACACTTTTACGTTTTGGCGAGTCAACCATTACACAGGGGCTCACTTGTGGACTCTAAAAAAAAAAGAAAGACAAACGGTATTTTTTTTTTTTTTTTTTTTCTTTTTTTCCGCGACTTATTCTTACCGTCCTACACAACAATTGGAGGATTAAGAATTCATTTGGTTATTCCCATTGAGCACTCCTGATACGTTGGTGTTGGGGCCGTTTGCCGCCTCCTTTGATTCGCTCATTTGGTGATAATAATCCACCGTGTAGTCACAAATTTGGTCAATGGTAAAAGAATTCGTGAGCTGCGCATTTTTCCTGTGTCCGCAATTGTCATATGTTGTTTCGCTAGCACTAGGATATATACTTTGTTCTTTCCATCGGTTCCAATTGTTTTCTACTTCGTTTTGATCATTACTTGTATTATCCATGCTATTCATGTCCTCCACATTTTCCGAACCCTTCATTTCGTCTTTTAAAAAAAAAAAATGTCTAAACATATCTACGTTGTCTCCTCCTGGGTCCACGTTCCGCTGGTCACCATCATGAAGGAAAGTGGACTTCTCACTGAGGCAAAAATTGTCGGCTACTTTGTCTTCACCGATGTTGCCACAATAATGAGGTACATTATTTTGCCCCTTATGTTCGCTTTGTCCATTTTTGCCTTCTGTGGGAACCAGTTTATGAAACATTGACACAAAGTCTTTGGATTCATTTGCACTGTTCCTATCTCCGTTTGGGTAAATTTCCCTGCTTCTGTCGTTTTGGCTAGCTGGCCGTTTCCAGTGGTCCTTTGCATTGTAACTAACATACGCATCGCCAGTGCTTCCACCAACTACCGTTGCTTGCCTTTCCTCTACAAACATGAACCTGCCCGTTTTACAAGTTGATTGTGGACCATTCTGTAACGTGTCCCCCTTTTCTGTGTGAGACACGAATTCGACCTCTTCATGCAACCCATTGGCTACTTCCATAGGGACCATCCTTTTCTCCATTTCGTTTGCTTGTTCGCTGGCATCTGTTTTCAAGTCGCCATGGTTTATGCCATCCTCTTCATTTTTCCGTTTTTGATTCTTTTTAAATAAATCCATCTGCATTAATTTTTTTTTCAAATACATTAGCTTCTGGTCGCTGAAGGGGTTGTACACCTCCCCTGCATCCGCTCTCTTGTCAGGAGGTTCCTCCGGTTTGGTCGGGTCTACCACGTTTGTCACGTCTGTCACTTCGATTACGTCCGGCACTTCAACTACACGTGCCGCTTGGATGACTTCATCCACATCAATCACTTCCACCGCTTCGACCGTACCCACTTGACCACTTTCATGGCCGAACTTCGCCCACGGTCCCTCGTCGTGCATAAGACTATCTCCATTTGTATAGTTTACAGTTTGACCTCCGAATGCATATTCATCGAAGCGTAGACCTGTGTGGTCATCCGTTTCAAAGGCAGATCGTCTGCGCACACCGTCTGCGTTGATCTCCGATTGAGCCTTCACCTTGTCCATGCCATCACCGAACTTATTAGTTTCCCACTCCATATTACGATTAAAGAGGTTAATTAATTTGTTCTTCCTTTTAAGGTGATCATAATTTGGTTCATTATCATTTCTCGTTTTCCTCCTTTTTGAATTTCTGCTTCTACAGCTATCACTTGAGTTGTACCCTTTGCTTCCACCTCGGGTGATTTTCCCGCGATGGGTTCCATACTTTGCAGCGCTAGCGTCAGAAACAAAGGACTCTCCTTCAATTACATATTCTCCCACGTTAAAAGCACCTCCATTGTGGTGTTTACTAACGCGGCTATAATAGTTCTGGTCCTCATATGCATCACTACCCTCATCTGCATTGCTGAAGTTAATTTGTGGGTACAGGTCTTGATCGGTATTCTTACAAAAGGGGTTACCCCTGTAGAGGTAATCTTGCTCCGTAAGGATCCTTCTCTTGTTGTGCATTTTTTTTTCATATGATGCAAAAGACAGATCTTCTTCTTCTTCCACAGTGAGTGATCCTTTTGAGTTTCTCTCATGATTCCAATGTTCATTTGGAATTATCCGTTTTAAGTCCATCCCTGGGAGTCCTCCTCTTTCGCTATGCAGCTGACCATCGAGGTGCCGACCAATCTGATTATTGGTGTTATTAATTTGACTATTCATTTGGTTAAACATTTTGTTGCTTTTCTGCTGATACATATGACTATTCAACTGGTCATGTAAATTCCTTACTTGGACCTTTATGTTGCTTATTTGTCTTTGTATGTGGCTGTACAGGGCGGAATCTATATTGTCTTCCAGGGTTCTATGGGTGGACAAATTTTTCCCTATCTGATCGTTTATATTTTTCACGTAGGAATCTACCTGTTTGTACATTTTGTTAATTTTTTTTATAAATAAAATGTCGATTTGACTGTTGACAATATTTATGTCATCGTTTATATTATTGACGTAGTTATCGCTCAGTTTGTTTTTCAAAATATTAATTTTTTTATTCAACACGTTTATTATTCCGTTTTTCTTAGTGTTGATTATGTTCATTTTATCCTTTACATTGTTAATTTGCATGTTGAGTTGGTGCATTTGTTTTTGCACACTGTGGAGTTCTTCGCGTGGATGGGCATTTGCCACATGTTTTCTCGGTGGGTCCTTGTACGAGCTGTATTCCCCTTGGCTTTCCTCGCTCCAGCTGTTCTCATAGAGGCCTTTTTCATACCAGCCTCTTTGGAGGGATTGTCTTTGCGGCGATCCTCCTTCGTATACCCCTCTTTTGTACACCGCCTGTGTCCCGTTTTTACACTTTTTTACAAAATTTTCTCTTTGGAAGTTTGCCCTGTTTTTTATATCCCTCGTTTGGTTGTCCAAACGCGACATGAAGTTTCCCCTTTCGGGTTGGCTTTCCCATTTGGGGGGATCCACTTCGGACTCAGAATAAATTTCATCATCCGATTCGCTGCTGATGTCACTACATTTTTCCGTATAGATGAAAAACTCACCATTCGGTTTGATGGATGCTTCCTCTTTGGGTTCTGCCTCATTTGGAGTTCCCCTTTTATCATCGTCAATGTGGGTGTGATCCTCCGATTGGATCGCAAGCTCACGTTCGTCTTTTTTGTACAAAGGTTCCTCATCCTCTCTATTTTCATCCTCATGGTGGTACCCGCCTTGATCAGGTGGAATCCCCACGTCGTCTCTTACATAACCGAAATCTTCTCCTACATTGTTGGACGTGACAAAAGAAGTTGCTTCTACATGCACATCTGCACCAGGAAAAATATCTTCTGTTGTACGTCCATCTGTATGAGGAAATGATGACCCCTCCACAGGATGGCTATCCACTGTGGGATCATATGTTCCCTTTTTGTACTCCTCTTCATTTAGCCCCTTGCTGTTCAAAATGTTTATTTCATTTTTAAGTTTATCAAAAATGAAGACATCTGTGGGATCATTTTCGCTAGCACTTGGAAACTCATTCTCATTGGTATTCTGTTTTATCTTTTCCTGATTTTTTAATGCATTCGTTATTTTGTCCTTTAAATACTGATAACGTTTATTTTTGTTTATTTCGTTTTTTTTCTCTGTCGTCGCTGTGTTTATTGACACCTTTTCTACACCCTTGCCTGTGTAGATGTACATGTCCGTGACTTCGCTTTGCTTACTCTCATTTTCGTTCGCCGCTTCGTCAAACAGTTGTCCCTTCCCTAACTGTGTCAGGTATTCCACTCGGCTGCAGGGAGGAAGGAGGTCGGTCCAACGGGAGCAATGGGCAAATGGGGCGTACAAACAGTTCCATTGCTTATTCGGAGTGGTGCGGGGAGAGGCAATCGTCCAAACGATACTTTTTTTTTTCGTTTTTCTTTTTTGCGTTAAATTTTCAAAGACAGGCATGCACTGCAGCGGCTAACTACTTCTCACATGTATAAGCATGCACAACGAAGCGCACCTTTTTTTCTTATTCCCAGGGGCGTTGGGCTTGTTCTGTAAATTTTTTCAACATGGAGAAATGGGTTATAGTATGAGTATGAAGGTGGTAAAGCAGGGAATCAGAAGAAACATAAAAATGGAAAATCAGTTCGAACAACAAGGGGAACTACGCATACGTTGTATATGCTCCAAGTATTGTTCTTGTAAACTACTGCGTTATCATTTTTCATTATTGGTGCTTTTTGAAGGATGGATGGGTGAAAGTTGTGTGTGTATATTTTTTTTAAAATGACTTAATGGAAAAATACTTTTCGGGTCGAGGGAATATGTGTGCGTGTCTCCATTTCAAGTGTCTATATCTGCAAGGGGGAGAAGTATGTTGCTGCTCTCGTGTTGGGTGTTGATGCGAATGGAAGGGGTGGTATCCCCAATGGGCATCCGTGTAAAGGAACACACACACGTACGTACGGACGTACGCACGTACATAGGTACATAAATATATTTTTATTACACACAGGGCTAGATGAACGATTCAAGGAGCCCCCCTTTTAAAAGCGTGTACGCACGTGCGTTTATACGTATTGGCATTGCGTGCCCTCTTTTGTCACATTGACGTGTGACGCACTTATGCGGTTGTTGTGAATCTGCAAAATGGGAAGGATAACGGAGAGCATTTTATGTCTATTATATGGTGAACAATTCATCTTAGCAACAGACGAATATTTCTTTGCAAAGGACGCTGTGTTGTTTTAACAGAAATGAGAAGCAGCTCCCCTTTTGTTTTTCAAAAGGTGCGCAGGGATGTATCCAGGGAGATACATTCAAGGCAGAAAAGCTCATTAAGTATGTTTACAAAATAAGGAATGGAACACAGGGGTAAGAAGAAGTGAATGAATACGGTCGTCCACACATTCGTACGCTTTTGCGCTTACGCAAAACGGACATGGAGTAATTTGAAAATCTGATTGCGGTAGCTGAACCTTTGGGGAATAAATATTCACGCCAGGATACCTGTTGGCTCATTCTTAAAAAAACAGACAAAGACATCTCGCGTTGGAGATTTATTTGTAGTAAATATCACTCATCACCGTTTCAAAAAAAATTATACCCTTTTCTGCTTTCCACCCTCATGGAGGAGATGGGTCAAACATGTGCACACACGCACCCAGGGGATGTCCTTCTTGCGGGCCCTGCTTCGTTCCCCGATTGTACCCTCACATAGGCATATGTAAATATGTATATATATATAATTATATATGTATAAATAGGTATGTATGTACGTATGTACACTGGGAAGCACCCCCAAGTGCCTGTATGTACGTAGTTAAACAAATCGAAGAGTGTTCAGTTTTGCTATGCCATTTTTTTTCATTCTTGTTTTTATCTTTGCGTAGTTAGTAGTCATCGCTTGGGGAATCCATGCGTCGCCTCCTACTTGATGGCACAGCCTGACACTCCTTGACTGACGCAACTTTTTTTTCTTTTTTTTTTTTTTTTTTTTGAACGAAGTGTACAAATTGAAGTATCACAAATTGAAGGGGACTTTTGAAGCATTTCGTGTCATACACGTAAAATGAAAATTTTCTTTTTTTTTTCCAACAGTGGCCGTAAGTTGTCAAATGGTATTTTTTTTTTTTTTAAATCGCTAAAATGTTGAACTGCAACATAGTGTGGGCAGCATCTTTTTTCACCGTTCGCCTGACGTGGGATAACGTAGTTGCATTCCCGCGCTTGGATGTATTTTTTTGGCCCGGCTCACATTATATATTCAGCCGTGTGCGAAAGATTTAACGACAGAAGGGTAAAATAGGAAAAAAACACATGAAGGGATAAATGAATATGTGAAAAACTCCATTTCAGCAATTTCAAAATTCCATTTCCTCTCTTGACTTGCGGTTTATTGGTTGCTTTGCGCATGGTTCAAGGCCTACAGGTACAAAACTGCTGGTTATGCTGTTTACCTTTACGTCTGCGCATGCGTCCCTTTGTGTGTAGAAAATGACAGCATCCACTTTTCATCCTAGTAACCATCCCGTGCTATATGAGAACATTGGGCGTTATCACATGACGAATTGCTCCACCTGGCACAGTTGCAGATTGGTTGTTAGTTATGCAGGCCATTTGAGGCATGTTTCACTGCTTACTCTCCCCATGGGTGCTTCCAAAGGGGCGTGAGTGCCTCCTCGCTCACGAACCCATGGCAAGTCATCAAAGCTGCAATTGTGGGATTGTGCGATCGTGCAATTGTGCCGTTGCGGACAAGGAATTTATAAATTACTTCTCAAAGAGGACACCCTTTTTTGAACCATCAGGGAGAACCACTTCCGGTTAAGCATGCCCCGATGCGAAGGAGAGGACTGCTTCTCCGGTCTGTTGGCCCAGAGAGGCTAACAAGTGGGACAATGGTGTGCCCAAGTTGGCTTTGCGTTCCGTGTGTTTACTAAGAAGTGCGAATTGCGTGCGGTGAAATGCTAAAAGAACAGTATGTAAACTGAAGTAAAAACAATAATGTGGAAAAAAAAGCAGTCGCATGCGTCTTTACCTTTTTTACGACCCAATCGATACGTGAATACACGAAAGTTAAAAAAAAAAAAAAAAAATGTCCTTTTTTCAATTGTTACAATGCACACGGTTTAACAGTGACCGTCAATGTGTGTTATCCATTTTTACGTTTTCTGTGATGACCTACTTTGATACCATTTTATGCTCCACGAATCCTTATTATATTGCAAAATACTGGAGGCGGGGTAGGGCGAGGGGTGGTATACCTGTCTACATGTATTTACCGTCACGTAAAAACAGGAAACAAGAGGAAAAAGAACACGCAAGTGTGGAAATATTCACCTTTTCAAATCGTTTCATTTTGGCCGAAACGTATGTGTAGAAGCAGAGGTGTCCAATTTCGTAACTTATGGCACAATGTTAGCCGGTTCGAACTGAAAAGAAATTCGATTCATCCGTCTTTGCCGCAGCATGTGCGTCTGGTTGATAATTTTTCTCTTTCCTGTGTTTTGTATTTTTTCGAAATTTTATACATATGTTCTTTTAGTTTATATGTGTTTATATCTGTTTATATATATATATATATATTTGTTCCCAATTGTTCCCATTTCACACACGGAGTTAGCAACGCCGATAAACAACACTGGTTCGTAATTCTCAATAATTCGTTCAACTTGTGTAAAGGCGTTTGGGTGAATGTCTGCCTCTTCAGGCTACCACCGTTGTACAATTCGGCGTTCGCCACATTTTGCAAAAATTCATCTGCGATTTTTAATGCACTCTTTTTGTTGCCGTTCTGTGCGTGGTTTGTGTACATGTTGCCATACGCGGCGTGTGTGTACGTATGCGCAGCGTTGGTGTGATTACCCCCATTATAATCATGTCCCCCCACCCTGCGGGCATGTAGAATATTGTGGCCTGCGTCCAGCGTGACATTTTTTAAAAGAAAAATTAAAAATCGCCGTTCCGCGTGTTTTTGTATATATGACCGCGACGTAGTACGTGGTCGGATTTACATTCATGGCGCAGAGCAGGTTGGCACCGCGGTCAACTTTTCCATCGGTGATTTTGTCCTTTAACCATTGCCATTTTCTAATAACTGTGTGCGAAATTTTCTAAATGCGCGATTGTTCCATTCAGTAAATGGAGCTTCCCTCGTCCGCGGGAATGTGAAGAATTTTTTTTAAATTTACACGTGGCGAATGTCCAGTGGGCAAAACATTTCCGCACATGTACACATACGCGTACACACGTTTGTATTTTTATTTGCCTTAATATATGTGTACGTTTTCTTCCTGTTTACCGCCATAGTACGAGGATTATGCCTTTTTTTCCCTTCCAACTGTTTTGTTTACCCATAAAGCATGCAAACGTGTGACTGTCTTTTGTTTCCATATATGAGTAAAAAAAAAAAAAAAAAAAAAAAAAAAAAAAAAACATATCAAAAGGTGAAATAAATTTTTTGCATATTGTTTCAACGTTTTAGAAGTTTTAGTATAATTTTGATCACCCCCTTTTTTTTTTACGCTTTGCATTTTTTCTTTTATTAGTACGAATTAATTGCAAGGACATGGAAAAAAAAAAAAATCGCACAGAAAGGAAAAAGGAACAGGAATTATATTTACACAACGTAAATTTTTGATTTTTAGCAGTTTTGGCATTCCTACTGCTGTAATATAACAGCATTTCTTCACTTTGCGTTTTTGCGCATTTATCGGCGTTTATTTGTGCGTACATTGCGCCCCCATTCATTTATTTTGCGCCATTTGCCGTTTCCATAGCTCCCACAGGGGCCATACTGCGCTCATTTGACCTTTTCACATGTCATACAGCAACTACGTATATGCTCGATTGCTTTGCGCCTATTTTATTTTCCACTTCCGCTTAATTTTTGCCTTTCTTTGCCCTTATTTTATGCCCCAACTACATGCCTTTTTTTTTTTACCCTTATTTTATGCCCCAATATTTTGCCCCAATATTTTGCCCCAATATTTTGCCCCAATATTTTGCCCCTTTACCTTAATAATTAAATAAATAAAAAAATTGGAAAATTGGCATGATTTTTTCTTCCCATTCTGTAACTCCAATTTGCTTTACGCTGTATAAGCATATCGCATAAAGTGGGAGAACAAAAAAGAAGAAAAAGAAAAAGTGTAAAAATAACCAGTTGGGGAAACAAGAACAAATATTTACACAAGATTAAGAGGATAAAATGGATTCAGGTATGAAGAAATAAATGCTACATTCGTATGCACACCCGTGTGCCTATACCTCTACGTATGTATGTGCTTATGTGTTTTTTTTTTTTTTTTTTTTTTTTTTACACGGAGAGAGTCTTTTTTAATATACCCCATAATAATTGAGCGGGGGCAATATTCAGTAGGGAGCTTTCAATAAGTTTCTTTTCTGCACAAAATTCCTCCCTGTGGCGTGATGATTATACTGCTACCGTCGCGCCGTTTTCATTTTTGCGGCGCACCTCACCATTTTGCCTAGCGGCACATTGCAACGCATGAAAACTCACCATCACCACCGCTTCCTTTTCCCCCCTTTTTTTGTCTAAATTGAAGAATACCAAGGACTATTGAACAGCAAAGAAAGAGAAGATGAGACCAACGGCGCACACATCGCCGATAAGGTGGAAAAGGGAGGAGAAACCATTGAAAATACTTTGATGAAATTAAATGTGAGATACCAAACGTTATTCTTTTCCTCGGGAGTAATGACC